TAGTAGGGAGCGTTTAATTTAGATAGTTTAGTTTAGTAAGTTTAGTTTAGATGGGAATGAACAAGGAGAGTGTCTTGAGAAATTTGAGTGTCTTTATTAAAGCTTCCTCACATCCAGAGATTAGGGCAAGATGAGTCAAGATACTGAGGGAATGGGGGTTGCGCTGTAGACAAAACTGAAAGCAAAATTAACAAGAGAAGATGGAAAGGAGATGGGAATTCACATCTGTTTTCTTGGGAGGGATGGGAAGGGAAGCATCTATTTGGAAAAACAAATGAATAGGCATGACTGATTACAAGATGTTGAAACTGCAGACAGGCAATTTGTGATGCTGTGAGGACATCAGTGTGAAGCTATGTGCAGTGCTGCTGCAAATCTGTTTTCAGTTGAAAGACCGTATTTCTGCTTTTCAGATCAGGAACTTGTAAAACTTTACTGAGCAAAAAGGCAGGGTGGCTTTCAGCATCTAGGAAAAGCAGCTAAACTAGAAGCCCACAGTTTGGAGACACTTAGAGGTAATGTTGAGAGTGCCTTTATGTGACAGTCTGCAGAGGCAGCTATATAAAAAAACTGAAGTGGTGACATAGTCCTCAAATGAAGTGGTTTTGCGCTGTATCCTCCTCCCTTCTCAGTTTATCCCCATTTCTACGGTTGGTGGGTAAACTAACAGCTTTTCTCACAGGTGAAGAAAACAGCATTTTCTTAAAGTCCTAGCTGAAACAGACCGAGATAGAATGTGAAGCTTAACTGATGCATTTGTTTGATACCTGGTGAAGTAGGTAAGTGACCTGGCTGTATCAGTGGGCAGCAGTAATTCTTTCCACACTAGATCATAGTTGAAATGTACTTAAGAATAGTTTAAGCTACATTTGCATCTGCATAGTTTCATCCTGTCAGTTTAGTTACTCTTCTTTGAAGCACTTCAAAGAAATGTCTTAGTTATTGTTATTATTTGCCAAATACACTTAAGCTTGCTCTATATTATAGCGAGCCTTGGGCTTTCTGTGACTATGGAACCTTTGGAACAAAATTGTACACTAAGATCCCAACTTCCGTACTTCAGAGGAAAGCAAAACCTAAACCAAATCTAGGTCACTAGATACCAAGAAGAACTTGGAACAGAATATATGGTTTTCAGAATCTGTAGGCAGTTTGAAACAGTATCTTTGTCTGAATTTCCCCTTCATACTTACCTAGTACTAGGTCTTGAACTTAATTAAGATGTAAGGGCATACAGAAATTTGAAAGCGTAGAAATAAAATAGTAGTAAATCAAATGTAACCTTAATTTAGCCTGTGTTTAATGGGTAGAAAACAAAAGTTGCCTCAAATTTACCAGTGTTTGCATCAGCTTTTCATGACTTTAGGGATTATGTAAATTCTTTCAGGCCCAATTTTTTGCAGGGTATGTGTAAAACCTAGTATTCTGTCTGTTGAGACTGAATTAGAATGGAGCACATCCAGAGGAATACCAAGGGAGAAATGCAGAGTCATTGCTATCTATATGAATTTTCATAATCTCCAGTTCCATTGAATTGGAGAAAACTCTTCTCTTTTGCTCTTCTCCATGGTTTGTCCCTTCTATTCCTTCATTTTCTTACTGTTGTCTAAATTACAGTGGCATCACCTCCTCCCCCCAAAAATAGTGATGAATCTCTTGCAATAATGTAGAATCTACTTGGAGGGCAACAGACTCATTTGTTCTAAGGACCTTGTTAAGGCAATCAGATTCACTACAGGATTTGATACAATCCACTCTCCACTATACTACATCCTGGGGAGGCTAGATAAATACTTCATCTTTTGATATTTCTTTAAATTTTGTTCTATTTAGAGTATAATCTACATAACTAAGTGTTAAAAGTCCTGTCTGTAAGTTACCAGTTTACACTGTACTTTCCTGTGTGCCTGGAGCAGATGATGGTCCTTCTGAGGAATACCTGAAGCAATAGTTACACTTTCTCCCTTACCAATATAACCAGGAAACACAGCACAAAATTACACACACAGTACTACTTTGACTTCATTTCAGTTTTGCATTTTTAAAATAATACTATAAACTATTATATGTCTCTGCAAATTGTTATTTTCTCCAGTATCCTCAACTCTTGGGATTGTTTTTGTCTGTCCCTCTTTTTTTGACCAAATACTTTTCTCATTTAAGCCTCCACCATTTTAAACTATTACAAGCCTTCGTGCTGCTGCAATCATGGTGGTGATTGGGAGGGACTGGGAACAGAGCGATACTGGTGAAAAAATGGAAGGAACTCATGATGGAAGTTTGTGAATTGGAACAAACATTGCATGAGTTGAAGGTAGAATACTAGTGTGCAGTGATAGACATTCTGGACATGTTTCTCTTGTTAAGTGTATCTGTTATTAGAGTGTGACTTGGGGTGTCAGGGTAAGAGGAGAAATCCTACGTTATATGGAATGTTTGACTTCAGTAGTGGAGTTGGGTCTTGGGAGCACAGATCCATGCCCTAATTTGATCCATTCATCTTTGCTAGGACATGTTGAAGTATGTGTATGCAGTGCTACCTGGATTCAGCTACTGACTTTACACATTCACTGTATGCCAGTGTCTATTGTTAGTAAGATCACAGTGAAATTATCTTCTTAATACAGTGTTTTATTTTATTAACATTAATTCTTATTTTAAATAACAACAGAATTTATACAATGTATGTTTTGTGGAGCATTTGATTGTTAAAAGAATTTTGAGTATGGTGCATAACATACCCAGTCCTAAAGAACTACTTGGAGGCTTGAATTGGCCTGTGCTGGCAGCCTTGCCACTTTGCTGTATTTAAATTCCTATTATGTGCCCTGTTGCGTAAATTGGGCTTTTGCCTTTTTCTAAAGTTGCTGTAAGTGAATGTATTAGTATACTTAATAGTATCCTATTGGAAAGATTAATTCTATAAACTCTTTGTATGTTGTATAGTGTTTTGATCTTTGCTTATGTAAAATGAATTTTATATATAATGTGTATATGCAAATTATTACAGATAATAAAATTATTTCATAGGTGAGTCTAAGAAAGTGACGAATTTGGTAGTAAAGGTAGTTTGGTGGCTGATGCGAAGACTAGAAGTCACCACAGAGGTTTTTCTAGGTCTTCACATGAAAGATACTTGTTATGTTGCTGTCTGAAATTGTGAACTTCTTACGGTAACAGTGGAGCTCTGTGCAGGTGGCTTTGGACAAGCTTGCCATAGTAGTTCTGCTGGATGTTACCACATGAGTAAAGAGTCAGCAAAAGCGAATGTGCTAGCTTCTGGATTCCCACAGCTCAGAGCCTGTCATATTCATGCAAACTTAACTTCTAGCATTGACTTTTGCAGCCAAACCAGACAAATAATCTAGACTTATAATTATTTTAACTTTAGATAATATCAGTGATGTAGTTTACAGCACAGTCCTGCAAATGGTTATACACGTGCAAGTAAAAGGAAGGTAAACTGTGGTGTCGGGAAAGACTGGATTGAGACTTTATTAACACCAAGCAATTTTTTTGTGTAGCTACATCCTTTGTCTCTAAACAGATGAATGCTGGGGATGTTTCGGAAGGTAGACCAGGTAATTATTACGCTTTACATGTTTTATCGTTAATTTCTTTCCTGGTCTCTACTGGGACAGGATGCTGTTTATGGTCTGACTCAGCACACTTTTTTCTCATGTTTTATCATGCAGTCTGTGCAGCTTTGTCTTCATTATACAGATGATGGCTGATGCATTGACACCCAGAAGGAATTTATTTTGGCCACAGTGTTCAGTTAAGGTTTCAGTGTTGTAGTGGGGTTTGAGTTAAGGATAAAATTTCTACATGATAACTGAGTTTCTTCTGCAGAGGAAGCAGTCTCTTAAATATGTCCAGAAAGACATACAGCTTTTAGGTTGAAGCTTCAACAAAAGAAAAAAAAAAAATAAAATTGATGGCTTGCTTATTAGTTTGTGCTAGAGGCTAATCATTTTCACTGAAAAAAATACAAGTAAACTATTCTGCTGAA